TCTTCATTGATTAAAAAAAGTCTATTTTATAGCATCCTGGTAACACTTGTTTATGAAAAGTGTGTGTTGTAATTCCCTTCATTATGTAACTTGAAGATGTTGAAACTTACAAGGTCAAGGTGATCTCTTCTCTACTAAGAACTGGTGTCTAATCCCCTGGGTAGATTCAATCCAAAAAATTGAGTGTTTATGCTGAGAACATCCCTGCTTGGAGATGGAAAGAGGGGAGTGAATTTAGAAGCCAAATACGCACACAATCTTTGAAGAGGAAAGGAGAACATAATTGAAGGTAAAGTTCAATGGTCCAAAGCATTTAACAACTCAGGGTAATGAATGCATGAGATGGCACATACATGGTTAATAATACAGTGTTCATGAACACCACAAATGGATGGCACCTTACAAATTTCAAGGAGCTACAAAGGATTGGGGAGTGGGGCCAATGTTGTGATGTAGCAGGTAAAGCTGCTGCCTGTAGCACTGGCATTCCATATGGGTGCCGGTTCAAGTCCTGGATGCTCCACTTCTGATCCAGCTCCCTGCTAATGTGCCTGGGAGAGCAGTGGAAGATAGGAAGACAGTCCAAATGTTTGGGCTGCTGCACCCATGTGAGACCTGGATGAAACTCCTGGCTCCTAGCTTTGGCCTGGCTGGGCCAGGCTATTGTGGCCATTTAGGGAATGAGCCAGCAGATGGAAGATCTCTCTCTTTTTCTATAACTTTATCTTTCAAACAAATAAATATTTTAAAAGGATACAAGTTGGAATTTTCAGTGGTGGGCACTTTTACCTCCATCCATATGGAAATTCCTGGTTGAAATCCTGCCTCTGTTGCCCAACCAGCTTCCTGCCAATGTGCACCCTGGAGGTAACAGATGATACCTCAAGTACCTGAGACCCTGCCACCTACCTAGGATTCCTGGAGTTCTGGGCTCCTGGTTTCAGCCTGGCCCAGCCCTGTTGTGAGCATTTGAAGAGTGAACAGTGAATGGAAGATATCTCTTTCTTTCTGTCACTCTGCCTTTCAAATACATAGATCATTAAAAACCAAAACCTCACTGTGAGTAGGCCAAACAGCCTGTCTAATATAGTCCAATGGCTATCATTTTGCAACCTGTGAGGGCCTGAAAGGTTTAAAGTATGTGTTTTTTTTTTTTTAATCTATTTTTTTTAATCTATTTATTTGATTTAAATAGATTTATTTATTTATCAGTAGCTGGAGCTGGGCCAGGCACTCTGATGGGGGATGCAGTATTTTTTTTTTTTTTTAAGATTTATTTACTTATTTGAAAGGCAGAGTTACAGGGAGAGAAAAGTCTTCCATTTGCTGGTTCACTCCCTTAATGGCCACAATGGCCAGAGCTGTGCCAATCTGAAACCAGGAGCTTCATCTGAGTCTCACATGCAGGAACAGGGGCCCAAGTACTTGGGGCATTCTCCACTGCTTTCCCAGAGGCATTAGAAGGGAGCTGGAAGGCCGGTGCCATGGCTCAATAGGCTAATCCTCCGCCTGCGGCACCAGCACACTGGGTTCTAGTCCTGGTTAGGGTGCCAGATTCTGTCCTGGTTGCCCCTCTTCCAGGCCAGCTCTCTGCTATGGCCCGGGGGGGGGGGTGCAGTGGAGGATGGCGCGGTGCGCCAGCTGCAGCGGCCATTGGAGGGTGAACCAACGGCAAAGGAAGACCTTTCTCTCTGTCTCTGTCTCTCTCACTGTCTACTCTGCCTGTCAAAAAAAAAAAAAAAAAAAAAAAAAGGGGAGCTGGATTGGAAGTAGAGCAGCCAGACTCTAACTGGTGCCCGCATGAGATGCTGGTGTTGCAAGTGGCAGTTTTACCTGCTACACCACAGCACTGGCCCTGGGATGCAATATGTTAACTGCTAGGCCAAACTCCTGGATGTGCCTGCTACTTTATTTATTTTTAAAGATTTTGTTATTTTATTTGAAAGGCAGAGCAACAGACAGAGGGAGAGACAGAGAGAGCTTCTATCCACTGATTCACTCCCCAAATGGCCAAAATGGCTGGAGCTCAGCTGATCTGAAGCCAAGAATCAGGAGCTTCTTCTGGATCTCCCTCATGGGCGCAGGGCCCCAACACTTGGGCCATTCTCTGCTGCCTTCCCAGATGCATTAGCAGGGAGCTGAATGGGACATGGAGCAGCCAGTCTGCAGGCCACTTTACCGGCTACACCACAGCATCATCGGCCCTGGCTTTGTGTTTTAGTATCGTTGTTGCACACTGCTTCTCATAGTTTGAAGTATGTATCTGAGAATAGTTATCAAGGTCCTCTCTTGAGGAGGGAGTGTAAACTCCTCCAGGGCAGGGCCAGAGGCGTCTCCTGCCCGTGCTCTCCTTACTTTCCTTACAGCAGAGCCAAGGCCCTGGTCACTATCTTCTCTTTGTAACTGTCTCTATTCACCCTGTAAGGAGTTCTGTTCATGCCAAGCTTGGTAGTTTGGCTGTTAAGAGGAAAATCAGTCCTTCAGGTCCTTTCAGTATCCTTCTGTGGGCTCGTCCTGCGAGGTCCACACTGTTGGGATGGTGGGGTGACAGCATTCTTCAACAAGAAGCACCAGAGGCAGTCCATTTATTAACAATCAGGCACAGGCTTTTATAGGGCAGGCAAAGGGGAGTAGCTAGTTCAGGGTAGCAACACTAATTCTATAGAATAAAGCCAATACTGGTGCCTCCATGCTTCTCCAACCAGCCTACGTAGCCTTCCAGGTGGTCTTATGGGTCTGGGCCACACCTGGGAGCTGTCCAAGACCCCTCAACAGGAAGTGGTGGTGGGGAAAGTGTGCCTAGGGCCACTGCCACCTGCCAGCAGTCAGGTCATATGTGGATCTCAGTGTGCTGAGCCCCCAACCAGGGTCTTTCTCAGGAGGCATGGTGTGCCATGCCCTCTTAACCTCTTGCATGGGCTAGGCAGGCAGTCTCTCCCTGTCAGGCACAGGATCACCCACATCCTTCTATCACAAAAGTGTATATGTGGTGGTGGTGGGGATACACAAATGCACAGAAATATGAGCATACATAACAGATGCAAGGTATGCTTTTTTTTTTTTGGACAGGCAGAGTGGACAGTGAGAGAGAGAGAGAGAGACAGAGAGAAAGGTCTTCCTTTGCTGTTGGTTCACTCTCCAATGGCCGCCGTGGCCGGCGCGCTGCGGCTGGCGCACCGCGCTGATCCGATGGCAGGAGCCAGGAGCCAGGTGCTTTTCCTGGTCTCCCATGGGGTGCAGGGCCCAAGCACCTGGGCCATCCTCCACTGCACTCCCTGGCCACAGCAGAGAGCTGGCCTGGAAGAGGGGCAACCGGGACAGAATCCGGCGCCCCGACCGGGACTAGAACCCGGTGTGCCGGCGCCGCAAGGCGGAGGATTAGCCTAGTGAGCCGCGGCGCTGGCTGGTATGCTATTTTTTGTTTCCCAAGGCTCTAGTGCAAATCACTGGGGGAAATACAAAGGGGAAAAAATACCTTGTCTTAGGGCTGGCTCTGTGGCATAGCAGATAAAGCCGCCACCTGCAGTGCTGGCATCCCATATGGGTGCTGGTTCAAGACCTAGCGGCTCCACTTCCGATCTAGCTCTCTGCTATGGTCTGGGAAAGCAGAAGAAGATGGCCCAAGTCCTTGGGCCCCTGCACCTGCATGAGAGACCCAGAACTCCTGTCTCCTGGCTTTGGATCAGCCCAACTCTGGCCATTGTAGCCATTTGGGGGAATGAACCAGCAGATAGAAGATCTCTCTCTCTCTTTCTGCCTCTCTGTAACTCTGTCTTTCATATAAATAAATAAATCTTAAAAAAAAAAAAAGAGAGAGAGAGAGAGAAGAAATTACAAAGGTACAGAATTCAGTTGTTAATGGTCTAGGCCACCTTCAAATAGTTAACTAGACCATCTAGGCCTTTACAATTAGGCTATTATTCTTCAGTGAGGGGCCCTTCCTTTTCCTTTCCCTGTACTGTTCTCTCTGATCTAAACAGAGTTTAGGGGGTTGTGCTGTGGCGTATTGGGTTAAGCCACCACCTGCAGCACCTGCATCCCATATGGCTGACGGTTTAAGTCCTGGCTGCTCCACTTCCCATCTAACTCCCTGCTAATGCACCTGGGAAAGCAGTGGAAGATGGACCAAGTCCTTGGACCCCTGCACCCCTGTAGTTTACCTGGAACAGACTCCTGGCTCCTGGCTTCAGGTTGGTCCAACTCTGGCCCTTGTGGCCCTTTGGGGAGTGAACCAGCAGATGGAAGACCCTCCCCACCTCTCTTTCTGCCTCTAACTTTTTCAAATAAATAAATAAATAATCTTAAAAAAAAAAATAAGAGTTCAATTCCATGAGGCTGGAACTCCTAAACCCCACGTGTACCAAGGTCACAGGATGGTAATTTGCATGCCTTCACTTTGTGAACTTAGGAACAGGACAACTTCTCACTGCTCTCTTAGATTCCAACTGCAGCAGACTCAGGTGGTTAGATAATGTCTGACTGGGCTGCACTCACCATAGACCCTCCTGGGCATGTCCCACAAGGTTCCAGGAAATTTCTGTAGTATTTGCTCCTTGCACACGTAGGCCTTTCCACAAAAGTGACCGAGTCCCTGTCCCGGAGACACAGGCGGCACGCGGGACTCCAACACCAACACACTCAAAACGCTGCTGCAGGCCGCGGTACCTTCCAGAACTCCCTGTGTGCTCTCACATCCCGCCTGGCCGGTCCGCTCCAAGGGGGTCACTCAGAACCTGGCCGCTGCTAAGTCCCGAGAGCCGTCGCTTCTCCAGAGCAGCAGCCGTGGAGACAGAGGGAGGGAGGCGGTTGCTCGACTTTACAATGAGCTTGGTAGGCCCACAAGATCCCGCCTCCTTCTGCGGAGCCAGCCTATGAGCTCTCCTCTAGCGATGAGCGGCAGCTCTTTAGGAGCCAATGAGTTCCGCTTCCTGGATGGAACCCGCCCACCGCCTTGTGTCGTCAGTTGGTCTTCTTAAAACGATAGAACTAGCCCGGTGCTTCCTCGCTGCGAGTCGGGCCGCTGGTGCTGGCGTTGAAACGTGACCGTGGCCCGACCCTAAAGGGGAGGGGAGCGGAGGGGGGCCGGAGTCCTTTAAAGCGAGGCAGGCAGGTGCCTGCCCCTTTAAGGGCGGGGCGTCCCGGTGACCGAGTCTGAGCCCCAGATCGCCCCGGAGTTTCCGCCGCCGCTTGCGAGGCGAGCTCCTCGGCTGGGTCCGGGTGTTTGGCGGCGGCGGCGGCGGCTTCATCCCCGCTCGGCCTCCCCCGGGCCCAGAGACGGCCTAGCCTCAGTCATGCTGAGCAGAGTATGGAAGCGGCGGACTACGAAGTGCTGTCCGTACGGGAGCAGCTATTTCATGAGCGGGTCCGCGAGTGCATCGTGAGTGCGGGACCCCCGGGCGGGAGCGGGGGGTGGGGGGACCGGACAGCCTGGGCTTCCGGGCGCCTGCGGACCCAGCTTGAACCAGGTGGGGGCCGACGGAGCCCCCCCCCCCCACCACCAAGGCGGGACCCAAGGACGGGCGCCCCGCCGGCGAGCCCCTGCAGGGGATTAGCTGGGTCCCCGCGCGGTAAACAAAGCCCGTCGGTTTCCGTTCCTGCCCGGCACGCCCCTCCCCCGCCCGCCCGGCCATTCCCTCCCCATCCGGGGCTCTGGCGGGGGGTCTTCAGTGTCTGCAGGGGGCCGAGGGGGGGATGGGTTGCGTTTCCTCCTCTATAGGGGTTGAAGGGGAGGGGTGGTCACCGGGAGCCAGATTCCAGGAAAGATTTAGGAGGTGGAGGGGGCGGCTGGCAGGAGGACCTGGTACTTAGTGAGTCCCATCCCACTTAGGAAGACAGCACTGTTGGTCGGGGCATTCTAATGTTTGCAGATGGGGAACGACCAAGGATGTCTCCGTGGTTGATTCTCCCGTTGCTGTCTTTCCTCGGTCACAGCCAGGATCAAAGCCGCTCAGCGGTGGATGGTGGTGGCTAGGGGCAGCGCTCAGCGGTGGATGGGGGCTAGGGGCTTAGAGAGTCCTGCCTTCCTCAAGCCTTTCTCCCCAGGGCAACCCTTGGCCCAAAAGCTGAGGGGAAGGGAAAGGTTTGGAGGCATTGAGAGAAGAGTCCTGAGTGTGTGTGTGTAGCCGGGGTGGGGGGCTTCTGATGGGGTTTTCCTTCATCTTTCTCAGCTGGGTTCTTGTCTGTGAGATTGGAGCCAGGATGGAGCTAGCTGGTCTGTCCTTATCAGTAAGGGCTGGGAAGTAGGCAGCCACGTGTGGCACTCCAGGAGTCTGTTTTCAGGAAGCCTGCCTTGGTGGTAGTCCCACTTGTTGGGGTTGGGCACCCTGTGGAGACACACCCGAGGTGGAGCCTGTAGGGCCAGAGGCCCACATTCCTAGAGAACAGGGAGGGATGAGACCTTAGACACAACCAAGCCTCCCGTGTACCTCCCATCAGTACTGGTCAAGGACAGCCTAAAGGCTTCCGGTACCTCCTCTGGGCTGGAATCCTGGGGAGCCCCAGAATGACCTTTTGAGCCCTCCCACCTTCCTGTCTATTACACAAGTTCAGGGCTGAGTAATGGGTTGTAAAAATCCTGCAGCTACAGACTTTTTTTCCCTTTTGCCTGACTCCTTATATTTCTGCATCCCTAATGTCAAAAGCTGCAATTTTGTCCTGGACCTTGGCTCTCCTGGGTCTCTGTTGGCTTCTTTGCCTCCATGTATAGACAGAGTGTGCAGAGTCCTTGTGAAATCAGCCCATTTTTGCAACTGGAAGATCCATGAAACCGATCTTGTCTTTTGGCCTGTCTCAAGAGCAGTAACATTGTATCTTAAGACTCTGACCTTGGCTGTGGAGCCAGGCTGATCCATATTTCCTCGTGTGGGCAATGACTGCTTACTTGAGGTAGAGTAGGGATGCATGTGTGGATTAACCTGGCCAAGTTCAAGTCCAGTCACTTAGAGACACGGCTTAACCTTGGAGCTGGAAGTCGCACAGGGCAGGGTCTAGGATTTGAGTGCCTTTAACGTGGCTGGTGCTGGCGCTGGAAGCCAGCCAATGGGGGAGGGGATTAAATGAGGCTCTGGTTTGGTTCAGGACAGACCTGATCTTGCAGAGCCCCTGAATAAACGGAGTAGAACTTCTGCCTTGGTCTAGAGACACGATTCCTCCTTATTCTCTCCTGTAGTGTAGGTCAAGGCTGCAGCAGCAGTGGAGGGTGGAGGCAGGGTGGTGTGCCAGGACAGTGTAGATGTTTTCCTACCCTCCAGCCTGCTTCCCTTCCTAAGGATAAACTTGGAGTAAATGCCCTTGAAATCTGTTCTATGGGTGTGTCCATAGGCAGCTCTAGGAGTTTCTCTACCCATTAACTACCCGGGGTGGGGGGTGGAGGGTCCATGTAGGGCTGGGTGCTGTCCTGTTTCCCCAGGAATGTGGGACAGTACCTTTTTTTTTTTTTTTAAAGATTATTTATTTGAAAGGCAGAATTAGAGAGAGAGGAAGAGACAGACAGAGAGCGATCTTCCATCCGCTTGTTGAGTCCCCAAATGGCCACGGTGGCCAGAGCCAGGCTAGGCTGGGCCATCTTCTACTGCTTTCCCAGGCCATAGCAGAGAGCTGGATCGGAAGAGGAGCAGCCAGAACTTGAACTGGCACCCATATAGGATGCCGGTGCTGCAGGTGGAGGCTTTACCCACTACACCACAGCACTGGCCTGGGACAGCTCCTGTCTAGCCCTTCCTCGAGGTCTCTGAGGCCCTGAAGGCCAGGAATTTACCAGAGAGAATGATGGAGCCCCTGGAAGTACAGAGTGTTATGGAGTGACCAGCCAGGCCACCCGGGGCTGTGGAATTTCTGGGAAGTGGAACATCTCATTGGAACTCACATTCTCTTACAGATCTCAGCTCTTCTGTTTGCCACACTCTACATCCTTTGCCACATCTTCCTGACCCGCTTCAAGAAGCCTGCAGAGTTCACCACAGGTACCTGTGACACCGCGCCCCACCCCGCCCCACGTACCTGCTGCCATGGGGCCTCCTGGGAAGGAGGCTGGGCTGTTCTGGAACTTCTGCCCTAGTGGCCTCCCTTCCTCATGAGCAGGGGCGAGGTGGGGGTAGCAGCACACCTGTGGGCTGCCACGCAGGTCACTTCACCTTTCCAATCCTTAGTCCCATCCTGCGAATGGGCATAGCAGTGTCTGCACAGTCCCTTGTCATTGTGTGCACCCTATGAGGTAGCTATCATGTAAGCCTTTTGTGAACCGGCAAGACAAATGTCACCCTTGGCGGGAGCTGTGACACCTCTCCTCACCCACAACCACAGGCCTCCTCAGCCACTTGCTGGTGGCCTCTGGCTTTGTCAAGGGCCCAGATGTGCTCAGATTGGAGCTTTCCTTCCTGTAGACGTTGTGTGAGGGGGATCCACTCGCCCCAGTTCCTAGCCCCCACCTGTCCACAGCCTGGCCCCAGCCTCTCCCCCTCAGGAGAGTTTGCTAAGACCCCACCCAACAAGGCAGCTAACCGAGTATGGGTCCCCTTCCCCTCATTTCTCTTCCCTCCACCTGCAGCTGATATAAGCAGCCTCCAAGACCTGGTGTCTTGAGCTCAGAAAGAGGAACCTGCATTGGGAGAGGTGGAGGAGGAGGGTGGAGTAGGGGAGTTTCTAGCCCACATTCTCTTTACCTGGGGCCACTCACCTGTTAAGCTGCCACCTTGGAGGGTTCACAGTGTAAGGTCTCCCAGGGTCGCCTCTTTTCAAGGAGTGGGAAGGGACATATTTTAATGCCCAGATGGCTCCCAGGGCTGCCTACTGACATCTTGCCTCTCCTCCCCCTTCTCTTGCTCACAGTGGATGATGAAGATGCCACAGTCAATAAAATTGCGTAAGTATCATTGTCTCAGTCCCTGGCACCAAGTGGCCTTTAGGAGCTGGAGGCAGGGAGGCCCCTGGAGTGGCAGGAGGAGGGGGCTGGGGCATCACACAGTGAAGAGACAGTGTCCACTTCCACCCTGCTTCTGGCTTCTTCCAGCTTTGCCCCACCCCTGGGCACACTCAGGAAAGCTGCTGTTCCTGTCTCCCTGGTTAGGTCAGGAACTTCAGGGAGCCTTATGGCCAGGAACTGTGAGGGTTGGGGCCTGAGTCACAGAAATGTCTCCAGCGTGGCTTCACCTCCCGGCGGCCAGTGGGAGGGAGTGGAGTGGGGGTGCGTTTTGGGAACAGAGCCGGGTATGGGGAAGGGAGAATGCCTGAGGCAGGGCATGCTTGGTGCCCAGAGGAAGGCCAGGGCATGATAACCCCTTGGTGTGTATAGGGAGGAATAAACAGACGGCCCCTTTGGGCCGAGAGGTTAGAAGGCAACCCTCCTTACGTGACATTCTGACTACATGCAAGGACTTCTTCCTTTCAGGGGGATGCAGCCAGGGCACGGGCCTTGGCGGTGAAGCTGGGCTCCCATTCCCCCTGTTCTTTGCCCTTGTGCCCTTGTGCAAGGCATAGCCATGTGAGATGACCCTGCTGTTACCGAGGCAACAGGGAGGCAAGCTCAGAAACCCATATCCCTGGGCAGAGAAGAGAGGCCACGCCCCTGAGCTTTGGCATTGTGCATGCTGCAACCCATAGACATTCCTGGGGCCAGGTGGCCCCAAGGTGGGGCCCATGGTGTGTACTGAGGCTTCCCTGGGAGGGACGGGGCGAGGGGAGGGGCAGCAGTGTGTAGACCCCCACTGGACAGTTCCTTCCCTAGGTCTTTCAGTGGTGCAGCTGGTTCTGGAAGTTACAGGGGCCCTCAGGGACTAATGGAGCTTCCCGGACACAAGCAAGGTCACTTTCCCTTCTCTGCCCAGGCTGGAGCTGTGCACTTTTACCCTGGCCGTTGCCCTGGGTGCTGTCCTACTCTTGCCCTTCTCCATCATCAGCAACGAGGTGCTGCTGTCCCTGCCTCGGAACTACTACATCCAGTGGCTCAATGGTTCCCTCATCCATGGTGCGTGGTTCCTGGCTGGGGCTGCGGCTGGGGAGCAGGGAGTCTGGGGGACACAGACCTCCCCAGAACAACCAGGCGTGAGTCACTGCTTCCGGTCCCCTGCGGACTGGCCGCCTCACCCATCTCTGCTTTTCATTTTACTCTAGGCCTCTGGAACCTGGTTTTTCTCTTTTCCAACCTGTCCCTCATCTTCCTCATGCCCTTTGCGTATTTCTTCACTGAGTCCGAGGGCTTTGCTGGCTCTAGAAAGGTGAGTGGGAGGCAATGTCAGAGAGGCAGCAAACATAATTCCACTCACTTGCTTCCACTGAAGGGATTTTCATAGAGGAACTATTTGCAGAGTTAAGGGAGCCAACCAGGAGATTTTTTTTATTTATTTTTTTGACAGGCAGAGTGGACAGTGAGAGAGACAGAGACAGAGAGAAAGGTCTTCCTTTTCCTTTGGTTCAAGAGATAGAAAGGTCTTCCTTTGCCGTTGGTTCACCCTCCAATGGCCGCCGCAGCCGGCGTGCTGCGGCTGGCACACCGCGCTGATCTGATGGCAGGAGCCAGGTACTTATCCTGGTCTCCCATGGGGCGCAGGGCCCAAGTACTTGGGCCATCCTCCACTGCACTCCCAGGCCACAGCAGAGAACTGGCCTGGAAGAGGGGCAACCGGAACAGAATCCGGCACCCCACCGGGACTAGAACCCGGTGTGCTGGTGCTGCAAGGCGGAGGATTAGCCTAGTGAGCCGCGGCGCTGGCCCAGGAGATTTTTTTTTTTTTTAATTATTTATTTGAGAGGCAGAACCATGGTGGGGGGAGACAGAGAGAGAGGTCTTCCATCCTCTGGTTCACTCCTAAAATGGCTGCAACAGCCAAGGCTAGGCCAGGCTCAAGCCAGGAGCCAGAGACTCCATCAGTGTCTTCCTATGTGAGTGGCTGGAACTCAAGGACTTGGAGCCATTATTGCTGCTATCCAGGTACATTAGCAGGGAGCCAGATGGGACACAGAGCAGCCAGGACTCAAATTAGCACTCTGACACGGGATGCAAGTGTCCTAAGCGTGGATTAACCTGCTATGCCACCCTCTCAGTAAAGAGTTGGAGGCTGAAGTGACAGTAGGAGGTCATTACCACCCCTGGGCTTGTGGAGGTCAAGGGAGGAAATAGTTCTGGGACCCACACTGCTAATTGAAGCTGGAATGTGAGGCCACTCAGCACAGGAGCTGTTTGTTGTCTTAGTGGCACAGCCAGTGCCGAAACCAGGGTGCTGAAGGTGGCAACACGCACAGGAAAACTCCCTGATGGATTGCTCGTCTTACTTTCCACTCACTCCCTTGCTGGTTCTTCACGGGGCGGGCTGGACAGGATACCAGAGAGCAGAGAGCTTGCGAGATGTAGACCTCAGAGGCCGGAAGGAAGGAGAATGCATTTGGGGAGGAGGTGCCCAAGGAAGAATAGCGAGTGGGTATGATGATGGGGGGGTTGGGGGTGGGGGTGGGCGGAGGGCACAGCGACTTCATGCAATGAGCGGGGATGCCTGTGTCCTGTCTCCCCTTCCCTCGCCTGGCAGCCATCTCCAGTGTCTCCTCGCCTCCCTGACAATGACCTCCTCCTCCCCTCTCCTGCTGCCTCCCCTTGCAGGGTGTCCTGGGCCGGGTCTACGAGACAGTGGTGATGCTGCTGCTGCTCACTCTGCTGGTGCTGGGCATGGTGTGGGTGGCGTCGGCCATCGTGGACAACAAGGCCAGCAGGGAGTCACTCTACGGTGAGGGGCCAGAGTTCTTCCCCTTCCATCCGAGCGACTTCCCAGGCAGTCAGTGCTCCATTCCAGGAGTGACCGCGTCCCTCTCACGTGACAGACATTGGCACCCTGGGCATTAGGCGGGAGGTACAGACTGATGGTCCTCTGCCAGGTGCACCCTGCATGCTCATTCCATCAGACCCTTGCAAGGACTAAGGAGTAGAGTTGACCCCAAACAACGAAGGGGTTGGGGGTGCCAACCTGTTCCAAGGAAAACAAAATCTATGTGCTTTTTGGCTCTCCATACTAGCAACAGAAGGGGGCGGGAAAATTATTACAGGAATACATTGTGTACTACAGATCTTATGTAGCTGTGATTTTTTTTTTTTTTTTTTTTTTTTTTTTTTTTTTTTGGACAGGCAGAGTTAGACAGTGAGAAAGAAACAGAGCGAAAGGTCTTCCTTCCGTTGGTTCACTCCCCAAATAGCTGCTACAGCTGGCGTGCTGCGCCGATCCAAAGCCAAGAGCCAGGTGCTTCTTCCTGGTCTCCCATGAGGGTGCAGGGCCCAAGGACTTGGGCCGTCCTCCACTGCACTCCCAGGCCACAGCAGAGAGCTGGACTGGAAGAGGAGCAACCGGGACAGAATCCGGTGCCCCAACCAGGACTAGAACCCGGGTGCTGGCACCGCAGGCAGAGGATTAGTCAAGTGAGCTGTGGCACCGGCCGCATCTGTGATTTTTTTAAAAGGCTTATTTATGGGCTGGAGCTGTGGCATAGCGGGTGAAGCCACCGCCTGCAGTGCCAGCATCCCTATGGGTTGCTGGCTGCTCCACTTCCCATCCAGCTCTCTGCTGTGGCCTGGGAAAGCAGTAGAAGATGGCCTAAGTCCTTGGACCCCTGCACCTGCTCTGAAAGGCAGAGTGACAGAGAGGGAGAGACAGAGATCTATCTGATGATCACTCTTCAAATGGCTGCAGCAGCCAGATTTGGGCCAGGCTGAAACCATGAGCCTGGAACTCCACCCTGGTCTTCCCACAAGGGTGGCAGAACGCAAGTACTTGGGCCATCTGCTGCCACCTTCCCAGACACAAGCAAGGAAGGGTTCGTAAGCAGAGCAGCCAGGACTCAACCTGGTGCTCAGATAAGGGGCTGCAGGCTTACCCTGCTGAGCCACGGTGCCTGCCCCAACTTGCCACTTTTCATCCTTAGACTTCTGGGAGTACTATCTCCCCTACCTCTACTCCTGCATCTCCTTCCTCGGGGTCCTGCTGCTTCTGGGTAAGTGTGCACAGCCTGTGAGGGAGTGGGTAGGGTCTGTGAGCCAAAGCGAGTGGGGTGGAAGAAGAGGGAGCAGAGGAGGAGTTAGGGGAAGGGGTAGAAAGAAGGGCCTGGCAGGTGACTGGCTTTTATCCCCACAGTGTGTACCCCGCTAGGTCTCGCCCGCATGTTCTCAGTCACCGGGAAGCTGCTGGTCAAGCCCCGGGTATGTGCTCCTTGCCCTGTTGTCCTACAGAGGGAGCCTTCTGCAAAGCTGGAGCCAGACAACGAAGCAGCCCTCCAGTTGCATGGTGCACAGAGGGCCACTGCCTTTGTTGGCTCCTAGCACGTGGAGCTGGGCATCCCTACCCCTCCCCTAAACGTGCAAGACAGGACGCCAGACCACTGGGAGACTTAGCAAAGCTGCTGGCCACAGGGTGGTGGCTGCAGCTTGGAGGAAGTCCTGATACTGTGTAGCCCCGGCTAAGCAGGGTTCCTCTGGGGCCTTTGGCAGTGAGGGAGTCCCTGAGGGTTGGTCCTTCGTTTCCCTGTGCCCCCAGCTGCTGGAAGACCTGGAAGAGCAACTCTACTGCTCGGCCTTTGAGGAAGCAGCTCTGACACACAGGATCTGTAGTGAGTTGCAGCTCTCAGCTTGGGGTGATGGGCTTAGCCCTGGGCAGGGCCATGGGACTGGAGGCAGGCACCATCTTCTCTGCCCTTAGATCCCACCTCCTGCTGGCTGCCTTTGGACATGGAGCTGCTGCACAGACAGGTCTTGGCTCTGCAGACACAGAGGGTCCTCCTGGGTATGTGGCTTGGCACACCTGGGTGTCCCCAAGGAGAGGAACCCCCCGCCCCTTGTTCCAGGTGCTGGCTAACCTGCTAGTCTCCCATTTCTAAACAGAGAAGCGGCGGAAGGCTTCAGCCTGGCAGCGGAACCTGGGCTACCCCCTGGCCATGCTGTGCTTGCTGGTGCTGACCGTGAGTAGAGCAGCCGTGGGCAGGCAGGGGAGGAGGCCCTTGAGACTCAGGGAGGAGGGGGAAGACACAGGGACCGGTGATCATCAGTAATCATAGATGCCTTTCACTTTGGGCCTACTTTAAGTCCTGCCCTGTAGTGAACACATCACCACAATGGTAGGAGCTGGGCGGATCTAAAGCCAGGAGCCAGGACCTTCTTCCAGGCCTTCTATGTGGGTACAGGGTCCCAAGCATTTGGGCCATCTGCTGCTGCTTTCCCAGGCACATTAGTAGGGACATAGATTGGAAATGAAGCAGCCAGGACTCAAATTGGCACCCATATGGGATGCTGGCACCACAGGCAGTGGTATTATCTGCTATGCCACAGAGCTGGCTCCTATGTTTTTTAATTAAATAGTTTAGTATTTATATATTTGCTTTCATCTACTTAAAAGAGGTAGAGTGAGGGGCTGACATTGAGGTATACTGGGTAAAGCTGCCACCTGTGATGCCAGCATCCCGTAAGGATGCCAGTTCATGTACCGACTGCTCCACTTCACATGTGACTCCCTGCTAATGCCCTGGGAAAAACAGCAAAGGAGATGCCAAGTGCCAGGGCCCCTACACCCATGTGGGAGACCTGGAAGAACCTCCTGGCTTTGGCCTGGCCCAGTCCTGGCTTTGCAGCCGTGTGGAGAGTGAATCAGTGGACAGAAGATTTCTCTCTGTCTCTCCCTCTCTCTAACTCTGACTTTCAAAATAAATAAATCTTTTGAAAAACTTAAAAAGCATAGTGACAGAGAAAAAGAGAACTATCTTCTATCCACTGATGCACTCCCCCTCAAATACCCATAGCAACCAGGGCTGGGCCAGGCCAAAGCCAGGACCTGGAGCTCCATCTGACTCTCCATGTGGGTGGCAGGAACCCAAGACTGTTAGCCATCAGCTGCTGCCTCCCAGGATGCATTCCTAGGGAACTAGACTGGAAGTGGAGTCCAGGGGACTCCAATATTGGATACACGAGCCCAAACAACAGCTTAGCCCTGTGTGCCACCACACTGGCCCCTGATCCGTAAACAAGAATTAAATAACTTGCCAGGTTTGTGGTAGAATGTGAGAATAAGGGTTGAAATCCAGTCCCACCCCAGATTTGTGAGTTGTAGGAAGAGGCACCATTTTCTTTCTCGAGATTTTATTTATTTATTATTTGAGAGTCAGAGAGAGGGAGAGACAGAGAGAAAGGTCTTTCATCTGCTGGTTCACTCCCCAAATGGCCACAATGACTGGAGCTGAGCTGATCCAGAGCCAGGAGCTTCTTTGGTTCTCCCATGTGGGAGACTTGGGCCACCTTTTTCTGCTTTCCCAGGCCATAAAAGCAGAGCTGGATCAGAGGAGGAGCAGCCAGGTCTCCAACTGGTGCCCATGTGGGATCCCGGTGCTACAGGTGGAAGCTTAGTGCACAATGCCACAGCACGAGCCCATTCCCTACCCAGCCTTTGTGCAGTCCTTCTTCCCAAAGGGGCTGACCTTGTGGGATCCTCAGAGGTGCTCTGTTGCTGGTCACAGCCCTGAAAAGGGTCCTGCACACAGCAGGTTGATGGGCAGCAGAGCCAGGCCTGGGAAGTGCGGACGGACATGGGGCCCATCTGCTGCTGATATGAGCTCTGGGCCAGGGATGGCAGTCCGTGCCCTTGCCTCCCACAGGGCCTGTCTGTGCTCATCGTGGCCTTCCACATCCTGGAGCTGCTCATCGATGAGGCGGCCATGCCCCGAGGCATGCAGGTACTGCCCTACCTTCCCTGGGGAGAGGTGGGGGGGGCCGCGGTGGGAAGAGCGTCCACTCTGATGCTGTTCTTCCCTGTCAGGATGCCTCCCTGGGCCAGGTGTCTTTCTCCAAGCTGGGCTCCTTCGGTGCCATCATCCAGGTTGTCCTCATCTTGTATCCTTCAGCAACCCGCCGTGGCCTCTGCTCACCAAACCTGTCTCCCTTGGCACTGGGGTGGGGGTGGCAGGTGGTGATGGGGAAGGGAGCAAGTCTTCACCAACCTCAGGTCCAGAAAGAAGAAAAAGACCTGGCTTTTGAAAGGAGGGCTGCCCCCTTGGAGGTGAGGCCTTACCCCTCCGAGCGGCCTGCTTCTTCCCTAACCCTGTCGGCAGTTACCTGATGGTATCCTCCGTCGTGGGCTTCTATAGCTCTCCGCTCTTCCGGGGCCTGCGGCCCCGGTGCCACGACACAGCCATGACTCAGGTAGCTGGGATGGGGTAGGGGAAGCCTCCTGGGCATGTGCATGGGCCATGGGTCCGGCCGCTGTGCTACCTTCACCTCTTCTCTCCCTACTCCCACCCAGATAATTGGGAACTGTGTCTGCCTCCTGGTCCTAAGCTCGGCACTTCCTGTGTTCTCTCGGACTCTGGGTAAGTTAGTAGAGGGCGGTAAAGGGAATTGGCTTTTTCTGAGTACCTCCTGCTGGCAGGCAGACGTGTGTGTGTAAATGCATGTGTGTATATATACATATGTATGTATGTGTATATATACTGTTTCCACCCCTACACCAAACTGGGAGCTCTACCCATTATATAGATGGGGACACTGAGTCCCGTAAAGTATCTAAGTATGGCTGAGTTTCAGAGTAGTGTTGGTTCAAAGCTCAGACTTTATTTTATTTTTGAGAGGCAGACAGATGGAGATGGGGCAGAGAGAGAGCACGCCCATCCAGTGTTCACTCCTTAAATACCTGAAACTCCTGGTGGTGGGGACTGGAGGCTCTAGCAAGAACTCAGCACTTCAGCCATCAGTGCTGCCTCCCAGGATCTGCAGTGACAGAAGCCCAGCCACTGATGTGGGACACGGGGGTCTTTAACTGCCAGATCGAATGCCCGTTCCCCGGAGCTCAGTCACTACATCCTGCCGCTTCTCCCATTAAGACTTTTGCTTCTGGTGGGGAGCACAGTATTCATGAAATCTTCCTTCTGGGTGGGTCAGTTAATAAATATTCTCATCTGAAAGAGAAGAAAGTAGGTAATCAACTGACCCAGACTTGTACTGCTAGTTTAAGGCAAGACCAAGATAGTTTATTTATTAAGATTTATTTGTTTAGTTGAAACGTAAAGAGGAAGAGGGAGAGGCAGAGATATCTTTCATCTGCTGGTTCACTCCCCAATGGCTGCAACAGCTCGGGCTGGGACAGGCCAAAACCAGGAGCCTAGAACTCCCAAGTGTCCCACGTGGGTGCAAGGGCCCAAGCACTTGGGCTATCTGCTGCTGCTTTCCCAGGCACATCAGCAGGGAGCTGGATAGGAAGTGGAGCAGAGGGACTGAAGCCAAAGCTCGTATCAGATCTTGGTGTCCCAGGCGGGAGCTTAACCCACAGCACCCCAACCGCAGCCCCCAGATCCATTTAGAAGCCTTTTCTGACCCTCGGTCCTGTGCTTTGTCTGCACATTCAGTACTCATTTACTCAGTCCTTCTCCTGCCTTTTGAGCTTTGATCTGGATTAGCTGGTTAATAAGTTTACAGAAATAACGAACTCACCCCAAGTTACAGATGTAACTTCCAGCCACCACCACCATCACATTATCCTTTGTGGATTATAAATGGCTTTGTGTTTAAATTGGCTCAATTTAGTTCTTAAAGTTAAACTTGCTACTGTGCCATTGGTATTTACGCCATGGGAATTTTATAGGAATGTACAATTATTAATTCCTCTAGGTTTTAAATGTTTACAATTTTATTTTACTTTATTTGAAAGGCAAAGGGTGACATCTCCATCTGTTAGTTCATTCCCTAGATGCCTGCAAAAGTCAGGGTTGTGCAGGCCAAAGCCAGGGGCCAGGTGCTCAGTCTGGGTTTCACATGGGTAGCAGAGACCCACGTACTTGAACTGTCACCTGCTGCCTCCCAGAATGTACATTAGTAAGGAGCTGTGGGCCCCTGCACCCGTGTGGGAGACCTGGAAGAAGCTCCTGGCTTCGGGTCGGTGCAGCTCCAGCCATTGCAGCCATCTGGGGAGTGATCCAGTGGATGGAAGACCTCTCTCTCTCTCTGCTTCTCCTTCTCTCACTGTGTAACTCTGACTTTCAAATAAATAAATAAATCTTAAAAAAAAAGCTAGGTTGGAAGAGGAGCTGGGACTCAAACCTAGGTAGTTTGTGACACAAGATAGGAGCTGCCCAAGGGGCATCTTAGCCACTGGACCAAACTTGCTCACCCCAGTGTGGGTAGGATTATTCAAAAGTAGGGGGTGGTAGACTTTTCAATTATGATATTAAGGGCTCAGTAAGTTTAAAATGGTGCCTTGAACATTTAGTGCCCAGTGTATATTATCAGATAGTCCCATTCTTTTTCTTATTGTTCTTCTTTTCTTATTTGAAAGAGTTACAGAGAGAGGGGGAAGACAGAGATCTTCCACCCATTGGTTCACTCCCCAAGTGGCTACAATGTCCAGGGCTGAGCCAGGCTGAAGCCAGGAGCTTCATCTGGGTCTCCCACATGGGTGCAGGGGCCCAAGCACTTGGGCCATCTTCTGCTGCTTTTTCCAGGCCACTAGCAGGGAGCTGGATTGGAACTGGAGCAGCCAGGACTCAAACCTGTGCCCATATGGGATGCTGGCACTACATACAGTGGCTTTACCCTCTGCGCCACGGCGCTAGCCCACGGTTCTTTTTTTTCCCCCACTTAATAGTTGAAGAAACTCAGATAAAGTGTGTGTAAGGAACTTGCCTTACTTAGATCACATAGTCAGTTAGGGGTGGAGGTGGGATATGAATTAAAACATCCCCATATCATGGTCTGAGCTCTTAGCCCTCACACTGCTCTCTACTAAGAAAAATCCTGGTGACCAGCTTCGAAGCTATTGGCCTAGGAACACGTAGTAGGCCCAGGGGCTTAGGAACAGTTGGAGCTAGAGGAGGAAGCCCCCTGGGGGAGAAGGGAAGATGGAGCCCCTAACTGACCTTGAGCCAGAGCTTGGGAGGGCGAGTAATTGATCCCTAGAGGCCGAGCTATCTGTTGCAGTGCTAAGATGTGGCCGCCAGGAGGCAGCAGAAAGTCGAGCTGCTGGTAGGAGAGGGACTGGGGAGCCCACCTGTCACCCTGTGCACTTCAGGACTCACCCGCTTCGACCTGCTGGGCGACTTTGGACGCTTCAACTGGCTGGGAAACTTCTACATCGTGTTCCTCTACAACGCAGCCTTTGCCGGCCTCAGCACGCTGTGCTTGGTGAAGACCTTCACCGCGGCCGTGCGGGCAGAGCTCATCCGAGCCTTTGGTGAGGGGCAGTGGGAGTGCACGCTGATGGGGGGGTACTCTAGGCCAATGGTCAGTCCAGTTGGGAAGGGTACGCTTCCTGCTTTGCTTGCTGTGTGCCTGGTCCACCCACTCCCTAGCCTGCCTTTGACCTGCCCACCTCCCCCTCTTCTTCAGGCCTGGACAGATTGCCGCTGCCTGTTTCCGGCTTCCCCCGGGCATCTCGGAAGAGCCAGCACCACCAGTGACCTCCGGCTGGGGGAGGGAGGGAGAGAACTGGACACTGCCATCTGCTACCGAAGGGCCTGGAGGGAACCGGGGTTGGTGGGATCTCAGGGCCCGGCATCTGAGAGTGTGGGTGGGCAGAGGGGAACTGAGCCATCTGCACTGTTGCATAATCTGAGCCAGCGTTTGGGACCAGGCCTCTGCTTTTCCAGACTTAACAGTGGTCTCAGCTTGGGGTTGGGCTGGGTGACTGGGCCTGGCCTCCTGGTCCCAAATCCGTTTACAAATCAATCTGCCTCACTGCTGTTCCGGGCCATGCCCGGAGCCATGTTTACATGACCTGATGTGCAATAGGGTGGGGTGGGGGCAGGGAGGGGGCTGGGCCAGGGCAGGCTCAGGCAGCAGGTTGTCTGCCTTGCCTCTGGCCCAGTGGAGCCTAAGCACTGTGCTGTCCTAGAGAGACTGAAGGCGTAGGGATGAAGAGGCTGCACCCAACAGCAATAAAGTTGATCCCAGGGTTTGCTTTTTTGTTTGTTTATTTGTTTGAAGAGCTTGTTTCTGTGTCTACTTGAATGGCCTTGTTCCCACTGTCCCCAGCTCTCCTGCATGAGAGGGAAACACAGGGCTTTTTTTTTTTTTTTTTTTAAGATTTATTTATTTGAAAGTCAGAGTTACAGTACTCACAGAGAGAGGGAGAGATCTTTCATCCACTGGTTCACTCCCCAGATGGCCTCAATGGCCAGAGTTGGACCAGGTCTCCCACATGGGTGCAGAGGTCCAAACACTTGGGCTATCTTCCACTGCTTTCCCAGGCACATTAGTAGGGAGCTGGACTGGAAGTAGAGCAGCTGGGACTTGAACTGTCAACCAGCGATGGGATGCCTGCATCACAGGGGTGGTGGCTTAACCTGCTGTGCCACACCAACCCCTAAGCCATGATCCTCTTCTCTTAGTCTGTTTTTTTTTTTTTTTTTTTAAGATTTATTTATTTGAGAGGCAGAGAGAGATCTTCCATCCACTGGTTCACTCCCCAAATGGTCACAGCAGCCAGACCTGGGTCAATCTGGAGCCAGGAGCCTCCTCCAAGTCTCCCACACAGGTGCAGGGGTGCAAAGACTTGGGCCATCCTCCATTGCTTTCCCAGGCCATAGCAGAGAGCTGGATTGGAAGTGGAACAGCCAGGACTCCAGCCAGTGCCCATATGGATTGCCAGCATTGCAGGTGGCAGCTTTACCCGCTATGCCACAGCGCTGGCCCCTACAAGGGGTTGATTCCTACACCAAGGAAGACCCCAATTTCATCTCTCAAAAAACTGATTTCCTTCAGTAATTCTCTTGCTAAATTTCTGCTTAGGATTGTGCAGGTTATCCATTGCATAGCTTCCAGGGACACCATTGTCCCAATCATTGTGTATACAGTCACTGTGATAATTTCCTCACAAATGGCATTCAGATATCTTGAGGAATGGGTGTTTTTCTTCCTGATGTGCCCAAAGTTCCTTGGGAATGCCAGGTCTGGGGCTGAGTGAGTGGAGGGGGAATGTGAAATGCAACAAAGTATAGATTCCACAAATACTTGCCGAACGCCCAACTGTAGGCTGGACACTTTAGCCTTGGAGATACATGATAAACAAGTTTGTGCTTAAGAATTGCTTTGTCTAGTAAGGGGACCAGATAATTCTAACACTGTGCTGTCGGAGCAGTTAATTGCTTTGTCTCTAGGGAACCCAGGTGGGCATGGAGGGGTCATCAGGGAAGCCTTAAGAGGATGTGATTTCTAGATGATAAAAATTGGCAGGTCAGGTACATCTGAGATAAGACCCAAGAGGCTGGAATTGGATCGAGTCCAGGAGGCAGCTAAGAAGGGTGCCTGGGGGAAGGTCAAGGGGAGTCATCAGCCTTTTATGCACAATCTAAGACCATCCTTCAGTGGCTTCCAATAGACAAGTTACCCATTAGGAAAGAAGCAGCTGTTTGGATGCCTGGCAAGGATGAGAGGGGACAAAAGCGCAAGTCTCAAAGCAGACTAAGTACCCAGCTCTGTCCTTGGTTCTGGGGCAGGTCCAGTGAACTGTCAAGTAGGAGGGAAACCTGTCCCCTGGACCCCCGCACCTCCTAGCGCTGGGCACCCGGAGGAAAGATGGAAATGGGGGAAGTTTGGGGAGGTCCTGGCCGTGTGCCCAAAGGGCATGGCTGGTCTTGGAGGGGGACAGAAATTGGAACCCTTCCTGGAGGACAGCAGAGGGCATGGCCCCCCAGGGGAGGCTTTGGGAGAGCAAAGATCCAAGACAAGTATCAGGAGGGTGGTTTGGTTCCAAATTTAGGCTTGGGTAGATAAAGACGGTTATCCAGGCAGCTGAGGACTGTAAAGCTACGAGGATTTCCTAGGCAGGTGTCTGTCTGGGTTCCAGGATGGAGCACACTCCAGTGGTAAAATGGACCATTGGTGACCGGCTAGAGCCCCCGCCCGGGTGGGATGGGATGGGGCGGGACGGTCCTGGGAGAAAGGCGGGGGGCGGGGCCAGGGGCCACTTAAGGCGGAGTCCCGGCGTTCTGGCAGCGCCGGAGCTGGGCAGCAGAGACCGGCTGGGCTGGCATTCACCCACGACCCCCCTTCCCTGCTATGTCGGTCCATCTGTAGCAGGTTCCAGGCCCCCTCCCCCGCCTCGGTGGCATGTGGGCAGAGCTAGCGGGGGGCCAGGTGCGCAGAGCCACCAGGGCTCTAGGGCACTCTGGGGGCGGCTCTGCCCGCCGCGCGCTCTGATGCCTGCGGAGATGCCCAACTGACAGGCGAACTGGTGAGGAGAAGAACGTTGCCTTTTGGCCCAAGCCCGCTGCACCCATGGCACTGCCGGCCAGCCTGCTGCCTCTGTGCTGCTTGGCACTGCTGGTGCTGCCGGCCCAGAGTTGCGGGCCCGGCCGGGGACCAGTTGGCCGGCGCCGCTACGTGCGCAAGCAGCTCGTGCCGCTCCTCTACAAGCAATTCGTGCCCAGCATGCCTGAACGGACCCTGGGCGCCAGTGGGCCGGCCGAGGGGAGGGTGGCCAGGGGCTCTGAGCGCTTCCGGGACCTGGTGCCCAACTACAACCCCGGACACCTCTTCAAAGGAGAAAGAGAACCCGGGCCCAGCCCCCCGATAAAAAGAGTAAAGGGGTCCCTTTCCCACCTGGGGGGGGGACCCCGGCATCTCCCCCTTTTTCCTTTTTTCCCCTTGGGGATTGGGGGCGGGGGGGGGGGGGGGGGAGGCGAACTGGGCTTCTTGCAGAGAATTTACTCTTATGACCTCCCCTTCGGTCCCCCACCCCCACCTGAAAACCTCCCAGCTGACTGAATCCAGTGGTTGGTGGGGGGTGGGGGGAATCCCCACTGGGAAAGGTTGGGATGGAGAGGAGGAGGAGGAGGGACCGACTAGTGAGAGTGAAGCCAGGAGAGGCAGCGAGGGCGGGGAAAAGAGGATGGCGGCAGGCGAGACGGGAAATGGCTGAGGCGTGGACCGGGGGTCAGCCACCGAGCCAGGCAGGAAGGGCTGGGGTGAGCTGGGGGCCAGGAGCCGGCTGGGCAGCAGACAGAAGCCCTTTGCCTGGCTCCTGCCCCCGACTGTGCAGAAGCCCTGGGCCAGAGACACCCGAGGAGGCTGGAGAAGAAGGATGGCCCAAGATCAGGTCATCAGGCCACCCTACATGGAGTTCTCTCTGCCATGGAAGAAGTGACCCAGAATGAGGGCAGACCTATTCTGGGGCCTGAACAATCATGTTGGGGGGGGGGGGTAACAAACAGGCTCCCAAAGCATCCCAAAGCACTTGCCTTGGAGTGAGAAGAAATCCACCTGCCATTATGGAGGATCCGCTACAGACTTGAACCGAATTAGCCTGTGCTGGGGTGGGCAACACCTTAAACGAGAAGGACCACATCTGACCATAGAGGGGGACACACGTCAAGACTGCAGGGAAACTTGGGGGTCACTTCCACCCACCCACCCCCACTTTTACATGGGAGAGCTGGGCCCCAGGAGGAAAAGTCATTTACTCAAAGTCTCAGAACCGATGAGTGGCGCGAGCGGAACTAGAATTCAGGGCTGTTGATTCTAAGTCCTATACACTTTCCATTACACCACCTAATTGTGTATGGAGCGAGGAAGGGGGGGAGAGGGAGTGGCACGGATTTCCTCTGATTAATTTCCATGGCTTTCCAGGTTACTTTGTTAGGAGAACCTGTCCAAGGAGAGAAAGTGGTCTCTTGCTCCTACCAAGAGATGAAGACGGGGCCACTCCCGTCTTGCCCCCTCTTCATGGAGTATGGTGGCCCTCTCTCTCCTCCTCCTCTCGCTCCACCTATGGCACAGGGGGCAAAACCACAACCAAGAGGGGGCTCTGCCAGGCCTGGGAACCCCCTGGGGCCTGCTTATCTCCCACACAGCTGGCTGCAAAAAAGGCCTCCATTGAGTTGGCTTTGCACTGGCCTGCTGCCCCCGCAGGTCAGGGCCCCAGGCCTCCTTAGGGGACACAACTGACAAGAAGTTGGTAGGAGTTACCACTGTTCCTGTCCCCCCCACCCCACCCGCAAGCCCTGTGGAGGTGAAGCCATCAGAGAGGCTGGGCTGGGGGGTGGGGTGGGTGGGAAGTGTCCCTCTGACAGGAGAAAGCCCAGTGGTGAGAGGTTGGAGGGGGAAGAAGAAAGGGAAACTGTCTCTCTGCACCTCCCCTCCCGGGTGGTGGTGCCACGGGGCGCGCCAAGGTCTTCAGCTCCCAGACCAGAACGGCCAAGATAACCGCAGTCTCACTCCCCCGGCTGCAGCAAGCAGCAACTTCTTGGCCTTCCTCTCCACCCCCACCCTGCAGAAGGTGCCCCCCCACCCCGATCCAGGCACGGCATTCTCAGGTGTGGCTCCCACTCCCTTCTGGGTTGTCTCTGGAACAGAGATGGAGAGATGGGGGCTCTCTTGAGGCTGGCTGGCAGAAGCCTAAGTGCTAACTGGGAGGACTGGGCCATGCTGGGGGAGGGGACCCAGCGGGCAGGAGCAGGGATGGGGAGGGGGGGCGCGGCTTTCTGCCCTTTCCTCTCCCAGAGTTGGGGCGGCTGAAAAGCGCCTTTGTGGCTGGAGCTGCTGAGTCCGCTTCTCGCCGTGTGTCCGCGGCCTCGGCCCGGGATTCTCGCTCAGTTAAGTCATCCGGGAGAATGGCCATTGTACTTCCCGCAGCCCCCGCTCTTTCTTCCAGCATGGCCTTGATCCCACAAGGCTCCTTTTGGCACCTCTGTCGGGGGCACCCAGACCAGGAAGGGGTTAACATTAGGGACTGAAAGCAGGAGGAGGAGGAAGGAAGGAAGGAAGCGATGCCCAATGCCAGGGAAGGCAATGAAACAAAAGATGAATCGGGTGGAGGGAGGGCAGCCAGGGCCCGGGGCAGGGGCCAGGTTCAAACAGGGGCTCCTCTGGTGCAGCCCAGCCTCCCTCCCCAACCTCCCACCACCCTGTCCACTCTGGCTCTCTCCCAGGTTCAGCCGAGGTCCCACAAGGTGGGGGGTGAAGGGCAGGCCCTACAAACTGGGGAGAAGTAGGTATGGTCACGCCCCCTCAATCTCAGAGGAACCCCAGGGTTCTTCCAGGAAGCTCCCCCAAATGGAGCAGGGAGTGCAGTTCGAACACTACACCTGTGCAGATTTCTCATTTTCCTAAGACATCTAAACGTGGGGAGGGAGTGGGGGGAGAGGTGGCCGGCCTGTCCGGGTCCCTTGGCCCCCAAGGTGGCGCTAGGGAGGAGACTGACTCCTCTCTCTTCCCTGCCAGCGCTGCAAGGAGCGCGTGAATGCTCTGGCCATTGCTGTGATGAACATGTGGCCCGGAGTGCGCCTCCGGGTGACGGAGGGCTGGGACGAGGACGGCCACCACGCTCAGGACTCGCTGCACTACGAAGGCAGGGCCCTGGACATTACCACCTCCGACCGCGATCGCAATAAGTACGGGCTGCTGGCGCGCCTGGCCGTGGAGGCCGGCTTCGACTGGGTCTACTATGAGTCTCGCAACCACGTCCACGTGTCGGTCAAAGCTGGTACTGTAGGGGCCAGGTGGGGAGGGCCACCCAAAGCGGGGTCCCCGGGAGGGGGCGGAAACTGAGCCCGCAACAGCTCTGTTTCTACCTTAGGGGAGACCGAGGGAGCTTTTGCGGTGTGAACCTCCCCCCTGCCCCTTGCATTTTTCGCCCAGGTTGGGGCCAGCCCCATGGGAAATTGCGGGGTCCGTGAAGTGGAGAGGTCTGTGCTGGGCTTGGCGTCGGTTCCAATGTTCTGGAGGCCGCTGGTCTTGACTCAGCACTCCCTGTGGTTGTATCCTGCAGATAACTCCCTGGCCGTGAGGGCAGGTGGTTGCTTTCCGGGAAACGCTACGGTGCGCCTGCAGAGCGGCGAGCGGAAGGGCCTGCGGGAGCTGCATCGCGGAGACTGGGTTCTGGCGGCCGATGCGGCGGGCCGGGTGGTGCCCACGCCCGTGCTGCTCTTCCTGGACCGGGACTTGCAGCGCCGGGCCTCCTTCGTGGCTGTGGAGACCGAGCGGCCTCCGCGCAAACTGCTGCTCACGCCCTGGCACCTGGTGTTCGCTGCTCGCGGGCCGGCTCCCGAGCCGGGGGACTTTGCCCCGGTGTTCGCGCGCCGGCTACGCGCTGGAGACTCGGTGCTGGCTCCCGGCGGGGACGCCCTCCGGCCGGCGCGCGTGGCCCGCGTAGCACGGGAGGAGGCCGTGGGCGTGTTCGCGCCGCTCACGGCGCACGGGACGCTGTTGGTAAACGACGTCCTGGCCTCGTGCTACGCGGTTCTGGAGAGTCACCAGTGGGCGCACCGCGCCTTCGCTCCTTTGCGCCTGTTGCATGCGCTGGGGGCGCTGCTCCCGGGCGGCAACGTCCAACCCACCGGCATGCACTGGTACTCTAGGCTCCTCTATCGCCTGGCCGAAGAGCTGCTGGGCTGAGGGCACCAGGCATGGAAACTTCGAGGCGCCGGACGAGGCCATGGGCTGCTGGCTGAGATCTCGGGGGTGTGGACAGCAAACGATGCTGTTGGGGAGGGCTGTGGGGGACTGCCTGGTTTAGGCGTACCTAAGAACTGAGAATAGGGGTTCCCGGGTCCCAGGCAGTTGGTGTTGAAGGTAAGGCCCTTCCTCCCTAGAGCCTCAGCCCTACCCAATAATTTTATTTTATTTTCTATTTATAAATTGTAATATAATGATCTGCTTGCTTGCCCAGCTTGTCGAGGGGGAGGGGCTGGGGCACTGCATTAACACCGTCTGACATAGCCAGACGTTCTGACAGGTGGGATGAAAAAGGGAAGGCTTCCAGGAGCTTATTGAAAACGTCTCTACTCAGAGGGTGAGGAAAGGGATGCTGGACCCAAGTCAACGCCTGCCCACCTCCCGCCCAGAGCGCACAAACATTCTGCCCTGGAGTTTGCAGCTTGGGTGGGCATTGTGCAGGGGGTGGAAAGTCCCTTGCACGTCATTTCTCTGCAGCCGCTCCCCAAGATGCTCAGGCTCCCCCTGGCATCAGCACACAAAGCATCTCAGCCTGCTCTTGCTCACCAGCAGCTCTGGCGCCTTCTTTCAAGGCCATGAATCAACCTGGCCCACCCCCTACGCTGGTAGGGGTGTCTGGATGAGGCTGATGTTGTTTTCTGGGATATCAGTGTGTTATCTGATGATAGGGGTGGGCATGTGTGTTGGGGAGGGGGGATCCCTGGCTGATAACAGTCCCCATGCCCTGGTGTGGTGTAGCCCAAAGAAAACACTTGTAGACAGAGGAAGTTCAAAACTGTTCTTACCAAGGGCTTCGGAGAATGGGTTCAGCATGGAGGGGTGTGTTTGTGTATGGGAGGGGGAGAATAGTTCCCCAACTAGGGCATGTAATTATCACAGCTGGAGCTCCCTTCCTGACTGCAAGCTCTGCTGGTTATTTCTATGGCTTCCTCCTGTCTCCCACCTTTGCTAGCTCTGCCTCCCTGGCCTGGGTGTTTTTGGAAACCTTGGGTTCCAATGGAGTAGACACTTGGAACCCAGGCAGGCAGATCCACTTCCTGAGTTAGGAGTAGAAGTCTCTGGAAGGCGAGTGTCAAGGGCCTGGAGGATGGTACTGCTTGGATCCCCCCAACCCCCTTTCCCTGCAGCAGCTGTGCTGGTGGTTAGATGGGTCCACAGCAGAGCACATAGGTCCCTGCTTATAAACTGCCCTCTGGTGGCCTTCAGGAGAATTCGAGGCTTAGGTAGGCAGTGCTTTGTTGGAAAGCCTAGAGATGACTCTGCTCTGTGGAGGGGACCTGTGCAAAGGCAGCCTCCCCCAGGAAGGAGAGCTGGTGGGAAGGGCAGGCTAAGTTGCCAGAGCAGAGCTGCAGGTATCAGGAGCTGGAGAGGAGCCCATCTGCTTCTCTCAGGAAAACCCGTTCAAGCTGCCGCATCCTTGTATCCCTTGTGCCTGCTCGAAGCTGGGGTAGGCCAGATTTCATTACATGTCAAAGTTGCTCCCTTGTGTCCCTTGCCTTTGCACCCTTAAGTACATTGGCCAAGCAGGTAAAAGCATACTAAATAGGGTTCCAGGAAGTGTCTGATAGAGCCAACATTTGGACCCTAGGTTTGCCTTGGCACCTGTCGCCACCTCGCCTTGGCCCAGACTCAGAAACACACCCAAGCTGCAGGGTCTTCCTGCTTTCTTTCTGAATCTGCCTTTGCCTCCCACCAGATTCTGGTGCTGTCCTGTCATGTCACCCCAGGTACTGCCTAATCTGATAAATTAGTCTTCCTATATCGATGGTTCCTTCTTCTTGCTATACTACTCAGATAATGCATATGTCTTAAAGGCCCTCTGAAAATAATATTGTGTGTGTGTGTGTGTGTGTGTGTGTGTGAAGACATCCACATCTCTTTGCAGAGTGCCTGGATTCTGTAGCTGGCTCTGGTTTCTAACTCCAACTTTCTGCTAATGCACACCCTGGGAGACAGCAGATGTAGGCTCAAGTGTTTAGTCTTTGCCTCCCCTTGTGTGAGATCTGATTGAGTTCTGGGCTCCAGGTGTCAGCCCAGGTGTTGCAAGCATTTGGGGAGTGAGCTAGCAAAACCAGTGGCAGTTTGTCTCTTTCCCTCTGTCAAAAAAAAAAAAAAAAAAAAAAAAAAAAAGGAGAAAAAAATCATATCCTGGGGACAGGCATTTGATGATGAACCTGGTTAGACTCTGCATGGGACTCTAACATGCAACTCTGATTACAGCTTCCTGCTAATGGCTCAGCATGAGGGGCAGCAGGTGGTAGTTCAAGTAGTTGGCTCCCATGTGGGATACTTTATTGAGTACCTAGCTCCCGGCTGTTGTGTGCATTTGGGGATGAATCATCAGATGGAAGATCTTTCTGTATTGGTCTCTGTCTCTCTATTTGCCTGCCTTTCAAATAGATGAAAACAGGTTTAAGAAAATCCACATCCTGGGGCTGATGCTGTGGCACAGTGGGTTAAGCTGCCATCTGCAATACTGGTATTCAATATGGGTGCTGGTTCAGGTCCCAGCTGCTTCACTTCTGATCCAGTTCCCTGCTACAGCTCCTGAGAAAGCTGCAGAAGATGGCCCAAGTGCTTGGGCCCCTGCCACTCATGTGGGAGATCCAGAAGGAGTTCCAGGCTCCTGGCTTTGGCCTGACTCAGCCCTGGCCATTGCAGCCATTTGGAGAGGGAATCAGCAGATGGAAGATCTCTGTTTCTCCCTTTCTCTCTGTAACTCTGCCTTTCAAATAAATAAATCTTAATATTAAAAAAAAAATCCCTACATCTTGTAGGTTACTTTCTGGCCCTGAGGCTCCACTCACCTCCCACTGCCATCCTTTATTATCTTTGTTCCCTTGTGGCCCCCTCCCAGATTTCTTAAAAAAAAAAAAAAAAAAAAAAATGCAATACTGCCTGCAAACAGCAAGGGGCACCACCTCTACAAAGCAGGTGGGTATGTTCACTCGGCCACACAGCATCTTTCAATTACAATACCTCTTCTCATCAACAAAGTAGGCAAAGAGGGACTGGGCACCAGGCATGGTGGTTAAGATGCTACTTGGGATGCCCGCATTCCATATCAGAGTGCCTTGGTTCGAGTCCTGGCTCCCCTTCCCATACCAGCGTCCTGCTAATGTGAACCCTGAGAGGCAGCAGGCAATGGCCCAAACAGTTGGGTTCCTGCCACCCTTGTGGAAGATCTAGATTAAGTTCCAGGCTCATGGCTTGTGACTGACTCAACTCTGGCTGTTTCAGTCATTCGAGAAGTGGATCAGTGGATAGACGATCTCTCTCTCTCTCTCTGCTTTCAAACAAAAATGAATTTAAAAGGATGTTTAAGTAGGAAAAGAGCCTAGCTTGAAGGTCAGGTAGACCTGGGGATGATGAGCCCTCCGAGACAAGAACGTTGACAAGACCCTGTGCCTGGTACACAACTCAACAATATTTTCTATCCTTACCTCCATCTGCCACTGTCTTTGCTGTTCTCTTCAGCTATCTGATTTAATTTTTTGACAGGCAGCTAGAGAGAGAGAGAGACAGAGACAAAGTCTTCCTTTTCTGTTGGTTCACTCCCAAAATGGCCACCACGGTTGGTGCGCTGCGCCAATCCGAAGGCAGGAGCCAGGTGCTTCTTCCTGGTCTCCCATGCAGGTTCAGGGCCCAAGCACTTGGGCTATCCTCCACTGCACTCCCGGGCAACAGCAGAGAGCTGGACTGGAAGAGGAGCAACTGGGACAGAATCCGGTGCCCCAGCCAGGACTAGAACCTGGGGTGCTGGTGCCACAGGCGGAGGATTAGTCTAGTGAACTGCGGCGCCAGCCTTTTTTTTATATTTATTTATTTTTATTAATTTGAAAGGTAAAGTGACAGAGGAGAGAGGGAATGAGAAATCTTTCATCTGCTGGTGCACTCCCCAAATGCCTACAACAGCTGGAGTTGGACCATGATGAAGCCAGAAGCCAGGAATTACGTCTGGATCTCCCATGTAGGGAGTGGTGGTGGACCCAAACACATGAGCTATCCCAGGAAGCTGAATTGGAAGAGGAGTGGGACTTGAACCCCGGGAGTTCTGATATGGAATGCTGGTGTTCCAAGGGCTAACTTATCTCCTGTGTTAAATGCTAGTCCCTGAATTTGTTTTAGAGCTAAAGTGTGGGGGCCGGCGCTGTGGCATAGTAGATTAAAGCCCTGGCCTGAAGCGTCGGCATCCCATATGGGCACAGGTTCTAGTCCCAGCTACTCTTCCAATCCAGCTCTCTGCTGTGGCCTGGGAAAGCAGTAGAAGATGGCCCAAGTCCTTGGGCCCCTGCACCCGCATGGGAGACTCCTGGCTCCTGACTTCGGATCGGCACAGTTCCGGCCACTGTGGCCAATTGGGGAGTGAACCAATGGATGGAAGATCTCTCTTTCTCTCCTGTCTCTCCCTCTTTCTGTAACTCTGCCTTTCAAATAAATAAAACAAATCTTAAAAAAAAAAAAAAAAAGAGAGAGAGAGAGAGAGAGAAATAAAGTGTGAGTAACTGAAATCTTGTTTTGGGAATTTATGGAACATTTTGTGATAACTCCTGCAAGATCTCTTGCATACTGCGAATGAGCTGAGAACCCCTGCTTAAAGTTTCAGGTGACCTTTCATGGCCCAGAATTTTTTTTTAAGTGTATTTTCATCTACTTGAAAAGAGATAAAGAGAGATCTTCCATCCACTGGTTTATTGCCCCAAATGCCTTTTACAGCCAAGGCCAGACTGAAGCCAGGAGCCAAGAAACTCCATCCAAGTCTTCCATGTGAGTGACAGGGACCCAAATAATTAAGTCATCATCTGCTCTGCCCCAGGAGGTAGTAGCAAGAAATGAAAAGCTGAGACTCAGACTGGTAGTTCAATATGGGATGTGTATGTCCCAAGGGGCAGCTTAACCCACCATAGCACAATGACTGTCTCTGGTCTTTCCTTTCTTCCATCCTTTCTCCAAGTAGAACTTACTGAATCTCTAGCATAGTCCTGCACAGGCTCCTGCACCCATGTGGGAGACCCGGAAGAAGCTTCTGGTTCCTGGCTTCTGTCTGGCCCAGCCCTGCCATTATGGCCATTTAGGGAGTGAAGCAGCAGGTGGATGATTCTTTCCCTCTTTCTGTAATTCTGCCTCTCAAATAAAAAAAAATAAATACATGTTTAAAAAAAAGGTTGGGGGGCTGGCAGTGTGGCATAATGGGTAAGCCATGCCTTCAACGACAGCATCCCAGATGGTGCCAGTTCAAGAGCTGGCTGCTCCACTTCTGATTCAGCTTCCTGCTAATGTACCTGGAAAAGCAGCGGAAGATGGCCCAAGTCCTTGTGCCTCTGCATCCGCATGGGAAACGCTCCTGGCTTCTGGCTTTGGCCTGGCCCAGCCTTGGCCTTTGTGACCATTTGGGCAGTGAACCAGCAAATGGAAGATTCCCCCCACCCCCACCCCATAACTCTGCTTTTCAAATAAATAAAATAAATATTTTGAAAAAAAAAAAAAGAAAGAAAGTTTCTTTTTTGGAGAAGTAGACATAAAGGGGCAAAATGTTTAACTATCATAGTAACAGTGTTATTTATTTGGGATGAACCTAACTGGGGCAAATGATCTATTGATACAGAGAAGGGCTTATGGAGAAAAGAGTGCCTGGATGCAGCGTTGAAATGATGTAGGTGCCGGCGCCGTGGCTCACTAGGCTAAACCTCTGCCTAGCGGCACCGGCACACTGGGTTCTAGTCCCGGTCGGGGCGCCGGATTCTGTCCTGGTTGCCCCTCTTCCAGGCCAGTTCTCTGCCGTGGCCAGGGAGTGCAGTGGAGGATGGCCCAAGTGCTTGGGCCCTGCACCCCATGGGAGACCAGGAGAAGTACCTGGCTCCTGCCATCAGATCAGCGTGGTGCGCCCGCCGCAGCATGCCGGCTGCGGCGGCCATTGAAGGGTGAACCAATGGCAAAGGAAGACCTTTCTCTCTGTCTCTCTCTCTCACTGTCCACTCCGCCTGTCAAAAAAAAAAAAAAAAAAAAAAAAAAAAAAAAAAGAAATGATGTAGATGATGGAGTCTGGAAGGGCATTCCAGACAGAGGGAACATCACCAGCAAAGACCTGGAAGCTGGGATGAGGCTGTGCAGTCTGTTTGGAGCAGGAGACCAAACAGGGTAGCTACAAGCAACTGAGAACTTTATTTATTTTTTTGAAGATTTATTTATTTATTTGAAAGTCAGAGTTACACAGAGAGAGAAGGAGAGACAGAGAGAGAGAGAGTGTCTCCCATCCGCTGGTTCTCTACCCAACTGGCCGCAATGGCCGGAGCCAGGCTGATCTGTCGCTCCCCGTCTTCGTGGAGGAACGACACAGGACCCTGCGCTGTTCTTTTGTCTGCTCGGCCCTCCCCGGGTTTGCTGCTGGTTCTTCCCGGGTTGGCTACCGTCCCTTCCACCTCCGTGGAAGGGCGGTTCCCCCTGCCACATTCCCCACTTCCGCGGGGGAGCGGCACACCGCAGGCCGGCTCTCTCGGGGGCTGCACAGGTGTTCCCCTTAGATGCTCCTGGTGCATGCTGTCTCTCTCCTCCTTTATAGTCCTCTTCCGCCAATCCCAACTCAGCTGCCCACACGCCGAGTACGCTGCTCTCCTCCAATCAGGAGCAGGTCCCACAGTCTATTGGTTGAACTGGAGGCAGCTGTGTAGAAGCTGTTTCCCTTCTCAGCGCCATATTGTGGGAAAGCAGATGCATAGAATAACTCTTAATTCCAGTAACTTAGTCTAGTCCGAGTTGCTCCCAGTTGCTCCCCACACTGATCCATAACCAGGAGCCAGGAGCTTCTTCTGTGTCTCCCACAGGAGTACAGGGGCCCAAGCACTTGGGCCATCTTCTACTGCTTTCCCAAGCCATAGCCGAGAGCTGGATCAGAACTGGAGCAGCCATGACTTGAACCGGCGCCCATATGGGATAGTGGCACTGCAGGTGGTGGCTTTACCAGCTATGCCACAGCGCTGGCCCCCATGTGACTAAGACGTTTATACATACCCATTGTTGTAGCCCTTTACATGCATTGTAATTTAATCCCCACAATAACTCAGATGCTATCACAGATGAGGAAACAGGCCAAGTGAGGGTTAAGTCGTTTGTCCAAGTTACCACAGCCAGTAAGTGGTGGGATGGAGCCAGGACCACTGAGAACTAAAACTTGATAGATTTTCACCCTTGCTCATTCACTTTGTTGAGTCCTTATAAAGACTTCCTAGCTGGGGGCCGGTGCTGTGGTGCAGTAGGTTAATCCTCTACTTATGGCACCAACATCCCATATGAGCACCGGTTCCAGTCCCAACTGCTCCTCTTCCAGTCCAGCTCTCTGCTATGGCCTGGGAAAGCAGTGGAAGATGGCCCAAGTCCTTGGGCCCCTGCACCCATGTGGGAGACCCGGAAGAAGCTCCTGGCTCCTGGCTTCAGATCAGAACAGCTCCTGCTATTGCAGCCATTTGGGGAGTGAACAAGCAGGTGGAAGACCTTTCTGTCTCTCCCTTTCACTGTCTGTAACTCTACTTCTCAAATAAATTAAAAAAAAAAAAAAAAAAAAGACTTCCTAGCTCCGTGACATTTCTCCTTTCCGTTGGCCTAGTGGGGAGATTACATATTTGTGTCTCCTTCCCCCAGATTCATAGATGGAAATCCTAACCTGCAGCGTGATTCATGAAATCAGTGCTAAAATGGGATCATAAGGGTGGGGCCGGGGGCTTGTATGGTTAGCACCCTTAGGAGAAAAGACATCAGTTTCTCTCT